CAATTCCAAGTCAAATTATCACTTCATTATTCAAATGGGAAGAGAGAGAGAAAGAGCTAAATAAGGCATTCAGGTGGGTGCTAGAGAGCACATCATAATTAATTATACTTTAAAAACTCTAGTGCCATCCACATATGAGATGTTTATTAGATATTCAAGACCCATCAGCAATGTGGCTATATTCTGTTGTGTGGTTTCAAGCACGCGAATATGTGACTGCAAAAAGAAAAGGAGACAATTAATAATATCCTCATTGGAGGCTTAAAGATTAATCATAATCGCAAACTCTTTTATGGATGAGTAGACAATAATTATAGACAACACAATACATAATGCTTAAAGATCCTGTTACAACATAAACCAAACAGCAGAACTATCATATCGAAATACAGCTGGTGAAGGCAAGGAAATATATCAACATATTCATCTGAAAGAGAACAAACTTGCCTTGTAGAATGAAGTGAGAAACAATGCCAAGTTCTGAATGAAGGCCTGAAGAAACAGCATCATATGAACCAGTTAAATACACACAATAGGAAAGCCTTAATAGTCGTGAGAGCGAGTAAGAGCGAGTAAGAAAAAGCATCGAAGATGCATCCGATCAACCAAAAAGTCGACGCCGGAGTAGTGGGTAAAAAACCAATCGAAATCTAACTCCATCATTCTCTCAATTTTGGAAACCCTAACCCGCCCTTCCATTGCTTAGCTTTTGAAACCCCAAATCCACAGTCATCGAGGGAGAGAACAAAAAGAAAATACCTTAGACGTCTTGAGCTGAATCAAAGTCGAAAACACATTCGAACCCTAAATCAACATCAAAGTTGAACTCAAAATCGAAATCAAAATCAAAATCAAGTACAAGTTCAAAGAGCGCACCAGCTGAGAAGTTTCCAGATGAGAGAGAGAGAGAGAGAGAGAGAGAGAGAGAGAGCAACACGCAGAGCACGATTTGAACTCTGAATTCGCTGAAAAGAACACTCGCTCGCTCGCTCTGAAGGATAAGGGCACAATCTGAGAGAGACACGCTCTGACTCGATGAACTCATTTTGAAAAGAAATTTTAAAAGAAATATATTGGTCACGGATGTATTAAAAGACACGTGTAACGCTACTGTGCCATGTCAACTTATGTGTTTAGGTCACTAAATATAAAATCTAAGCTATATTTATTGACTAAAATTTAGAGTAGTCACTATTTGTCAAAAGAATTGGTCATTAAAAGTTAAAAAATGGGCACCAATAGTTTTAGGGACTGTTTAACATTGTTAGTCACTAAATGCACACTATCTGTGATCATTATCCATTTTGTCACTGAGAAATTGGTCACTACTGACCTTTTTTCTTGTAGTGTGGACCCATGAGGACTCATCTCTTGATAATAACAGGTACCCATGATGTCTGTGAAAGTTGCCAACTTGGCAAACAACATCGACAAGCATTTCCATCTGGAAAGGCTTGGAGAGCTAAGGCCTTGTTGGAACTTGTTCACACAGACGTTTGTGGACCCATGAGGACTCCATCTCTTGATAATAACAGGTACTTTATCCTGTTCATAGATGACTATACTAGAATGACGTGGGTTTATTTTCTACGAGAAAGATCAGAAGTATTTAATATCTTCAAAAAATTCAAAACCCATGTTGAAAAACAAAGTGGCCACTATATTAAAGCTCTAAGAAGTGATAGAGGAAAAGAATATACCTCTAAAGAATTCAACAAATTTTGTGAAGATGAAGGAGTAGAGCATCAACTAACAGTTGGCTATGCTCCTGAACAAAATGGAGTCTCAGAAAGAAAAAATAGAACTATCATGGAGATGGCAAGATCCATGATATTTGAAAAAGGCTTGCCAAACACATTCTGGGCAGAAGCTGTGTATACAGCAGTATACTTGCTAAATAGATGCCCAACAAAAGCTTTACAAAATAAGACTCCTATTGAGGCTTGGAGCAATATAAAGCCATCAGCAAAGCATCTCAAAGTATTTGGATGCATTTTCTATGTGCACATTCCTAAGGAAAAAAGACACAAGCTAGAAGAAAAGTCTGAAGTTGGCATATTCCTGGGATACAGTTCCCAATCTAAAGGCTATAGAGTCTACAATCCCAAAACGAAGAAGTTCATGATAAGCCGAGATGTTGAGTTCAATGAATCGGCGTCCAACATCTCGGCGTCATGGAACTGGGAGGAAGAAAAAGTTGAAAAGAAAAGTGTTACTATAACACAACCGTGCAGAGAGGAAATTGAAGAAACTCCAGGTACGACTCCACCACCTACAACTCCTCCATTTATACAACATGAAGGCTCTCCATAACCAGAACAAAGAACTAGATCACTCTAAGATATATATGAAACTTGCAACTTCATAACTATAGAACCAGAAAGTTTTGAAGTTGCAGTAAAAGAAGAAATCTAGAGAAAAGCTATGGAAGAAGAAATTAAAACAATTGAGAAAAACAAAACATGGGAACTCGTTGATCGCCCACAAGACAAAGAGATCATTGGGGTTAAATGCGTCTATAAGACCAAATTTAATCCTGATGGATCAATACGGAAGCATAAGGCAAGGCTAGTAGCTAAAGGCTACTCGCAGCAGCCGGGCGTAGATTATAACGAGACATTTGCACCAGTTGCAAGACTTGATACTATAAGAGCATTGGTAGCATTAGCAGCTCAAAAGAAATGGAGAATTTATCAGCTAGACGTAAAGTCTACATTTCTAAACGGAGAGCTCGAAGAAGAAATATATGTGGAGCAACCACAAGGATTTATTGAGCAAGGAGGAGAAGATAAAGCACTCAAGCTAAAGAAAGCCTTGTACGGACTCAAGCAAGTGCCACGAGCTTGGAACAGCTGCATAGACAAATACTTCATCAACGCAGGCTTCAGATGGAGCAAAAGCAAGCCCACTCTCTACACCAAAACTCAAGGTAAGTCTGATATCTTGATCGTCTCTCTATATGTGGATGATCTCATCTACACAGGAAACAATAAATCTACACTGGAAACAATGAAGAAATAATTCAAGAGTTTAAAAAAGATATGATGAAAACATTTGAGATAAATGACCTTGGGTTGATGCACTATTTTTTGGGCATCGAAATAAACCAAGAAAAAGATGGAATCTTCATATGCCAGAAAAAGTACACTGAAAATCTTTTGAAAAAGTTCAAAATGTACGGGTGCAAGACTGTAGCTACTCCACTTATTACCAATGAGAAATTTAGAAAGGAAGATGGATCAAGAAAAGCTAATGAATCAGTTTACAGAAGTCTCATTGGGAGCTTACTATACTTAACAACAACAAGACCTGACATCATGTACGCGACAAGCCTACTATCAAGATTTATGCAAAATCCAAGTCAAATACACTATGGAGCAGCAAAAAGAATATTAAGATACTTGCAAGGCACAATTGGCTATGGCATATGGTATAAGCCTACTATAGATCCAAGACTATTTGGCTACACAGACAGTGATTGGGCTGGATCAGTGGATGACATGAAAAGCACATCAGGCTATGCATTTACAATTGGATCAGGAATATTTTCATGGTCATCAAAGAAACAAGAGACTGTGGCTCAATCATCAGCAGAAGCCGAGCACGTAGCAGCAGCAAGTTCAGCATGCCAAGCTATTTGGCTCATAAGAATATTTAAAGATATGGGAGAGTGCCAAACAAAAGCTACTGAAATACTTTGTGACAACAAGTCTGCTGTAGCAATGGCAAAAAATCCAGTATTCCACAGCAGGACGAAGCATATCGCCATCAAGCATCACTTCTTACGAGAGGTCTCAGCAAACAAAGAAGTTGAGCTCAAGTACTGCAAGACAGAGGAGCAAATTGCAGACATCTTCACTAAGGCACTTCCAAGACCAAAATTTGAACTACTACGAAGCATGCTCGGAGTAACACAAATGTGCATTAAGGAGGAGTGTTAAAAAGTAATGCACATTGAATAATAAAGAAAAATCGTGAATGATATAGAAAAATCTAGAACAATTGAGTGAAAGTAGACAAGTCAAATTTGAGCTCTACACTAGAAACATCCTATTAATTATTTAATGTATTGTAACTAGACTATTCTAGACTTATATTATAACTAGTGGCTGGAAAATAGTTTGAGAAGTCGGTTACTATGCAATTACCGACTTCACTAGATAATTGCCATCTTTAAGTCGGTTATGCTACTCTATATATACAGCAATAGCAGCCCAATTGTGTAATCAAGGAAAACTTGAAATCTACAGCTGCCTAACTCCTCCCTTTAGCCAACCCTTGTATATCCAACCAATTCTAAAGCCTTGTACCCTTCTTATTTCAATCAATAAAATAAAATTATCTTGTTACCCTTTTAAAAAAGCTTTCTATTCCACATAAAGAATATTGTCCTAAATAGTAAATCAACTATTCTCTAAGCCTCTCTTCTCCCTTCAACTAACAACTTGACTTAAAAGCGATCAGGCTTCTCTTCAATGTCCCTTACCTTCTACACAGAAACAGAGTGTCCCTTATCTTCAATGTCCTCCTTTCACTCTGTGACCTTTGTTACTCTGTTTTCCTTGAGTTTTACGTTATGGGTTACCTTCAGTGTGTTTTCCTTGAGTTTTACATTATGGGTTACCTTCAGTGGCGGATCAAGGAATTTCCTCTTCGGGGGGTCAACGTATAAAATCTCACAAATTTTTTTAGACAAATCTTTTGTTTTTCTTTCTTTTCTATCTTTTTTTTTTCTATCTCACATTTTTTTTGGACGAAATCTATCTCACATTAGTTTATCATTAAACTCACTTAATATAAATATAAAATTAAACTCAAATACTTAAAATCGCCAGTCTAGCATGTTCGTAGGATTGGATTACCTCATACAACGAACTTTGGATTCTCTAATGGAACTACAAGAGGCACAACCTTGTATTGCTGATCTATGGTTAGCTTGTAGTAGCATGACAATGGATTTATATATTATCATGGTGCATTAGTATTGCCTTACCAGCCCCTGTTTTCCTGTTGTTGGCGTCGTGCTACTTTTGTTTCAGTCATTTGATTTGCAAAGACCCTGTTGAGTTTCTTCAATTGAAAGCCTTGGTTTTTATGCTGAAATATCTGTTTGGTTTTTATGCTCGACTCCACATTTTAGATTGTCATCCTCTCGCTGACCAAAATGCTGGAACAATCAAATGACCAGCTTCATTTGAATTCTTGACCCAACTAAGTGCACGCACCAGACCTGTCTTTTTAAAGCGTTCTGAATTTACAAGTAACACTGGGATTTATGCATCTAAAAGATTTGACCTTCAAATATCTTGCAAACGCAATCATTACAAACAAGATTTACTGTATATTGCCAAATTTCCAATATCTGGTACATAATTTTTTCCAGGCAATCCAACTGCATGACTCACATTCATAAATTCGCTATGAAGCACTGAGGGTCAGTGGGTGACACAAACTGATTATGCGGTGCTGAATGTGGAGACGGAAGACGGAGATCTGAATTTCCTGCTTTATCTTTCACTGTAATGTAAACTGAGGATAGAACATCAGAAATAGGCTAAATAGTGGGATATATACCGAGAGAGAGAGAGATGTTATATATGCTAGCAAAATGCGACAGCCAAATGGAGACGTGGATAAAAAGACAAAAGCATTAATGGAGGAAACTTATGCTGACTGTTAGGGTGTACCAGATTCAATCCAATCTGTCCAAACCGACCGAACTAATTAAATCCAATTCAATTTTAATCGGTTTCGATGATTTGATGGATTAAATTGTATCCATAATTTTCAAAACTGGCATGATTAGATCGGATGACGAATTTACTTATGAGAATCCAATCCAATCCAATATAATTAGTTTTATGCTTATTTTGCTCTCGTAGGCATTACATGTCTTTGCCTCTGAAACTCATGAACACATGATAACTACTGCATCGATGAGAAGGAGGACACACAGTATTGGAAGAGGAGGTTTCTCCTTGAGTTTTTCTCACAAGAACCATGGATAAGGGTAAAAAAAATTCATAAACAAACTGCCCTTTGCGGTGTCTATAAGAGGAGAGCTGTGAAAATTAAATACTGACGGGATCCTCGGATTTTTTTCTGGCCTTCGAGGAACCTTATGATGTGAAAACGAACAGTTAAAAGTAAAGCAGCTCTCATGCAAAGGAAAGGTATATTGTCTGTCTTTTGATAAAAGATGGCCTATAATTTCTTTTCTAGAGCTTGACGAAAAGGACTGTCGGGATTACCTTACCCTATACGCACATTATCACTTTTTGACAATCCTTTGTTGATTATTTTGTGGTGGCAGAATGATAAGGAATAAGGATATTGCATTCCTTATTCCAGGCCCATTCCCAAAGCAACCAATTTGACCAATATTTTACACCATAGTTTGAGCAAAATTGTATAGTTTTCTAATTATGGAGGCAAATCATGCCCTTATAACAAAATTTTATAGTTTCCTTTTTGAATGGAATCGTATTACCGAACAAGTATATATATGAGAGATTTTCCAAGCAGAATGCTTAATTTTATGCGTGTCGTTATTGACACAGATAATCAGTCGGCAACCAGAACAGAATGATTCCAATGGCATCACCAAAACGACATTGTTACAAAAGACAAAATCATAATTTGAACAACATTGATATCCAAGCTTTTGATCATCCTGTTGCTGTTCTCTTAAAACCATATACAAATAACAGAAAAATTCCCAAATACTAGAGGAAATCTTTTGAAATGAAACAGAAGTGTTTCAGGCATATTGCATTAACTATCAACAGCTTAGATTAAAATAAAAATACATCATGATGTTAATTTATCTGGGGTATCATTGTTTTATATTCTCTCTTTTGTTCAGAAATAGTTGGAGTAAAATAAAATGTGTTAGTAAACAACACACCTGTATCTTCATCAGAGGCCCCAAAGAGATTATCGAACCAAATCAGATCTGTTATTGGTTTCCATCTAGGGAAGAGCAAGTATGTTCCTGGCTCGTCTTGAGCCAAATCTCCATCAATGACACTTGCATAAGAAGGATCCCTGGTGTCATGTTGCGTATTCATACTCTCTTCTTGCTCCTGCTCTATTAGCTGGATGCCACATTCCTTTACCTGAATCAGAGGTTCTCAAACAACCACTGTGTCGCCACCTTCTAGTGATTCTCCAACTTCCAATGGTTTAACCATATCATGTATTCTCTGTCATCTGGAATACCGTAAATTCTGAGTCATAGGCAAGTATGGGATTCTGGTTCACTAGTAGACTCGTGAATCGATCACATGCTACAACCCTCAACTCACGAAGTTATCTTCAAATCCTCAGGAGAGATGGGGTTCTGTGGCCCATTCACTAATTTGAATATCTTCAAGACAAACAAAGCCCTTGTCTGCTTGCTCGTAACTACTACATCATATCCATAAAACTTAGCTGCCACACGTTTTGAAGTTATCCATCTATTTATCTCAAGATGTCTGAGATTTAGTAGATTACTGAGAGTTGGCAACGACAAACTCATGATCATCGATGATGGAAATGTAGCAACCATGAAATTATCCATCTCTAAAATTTCCAAATTAGGGTGCAGTTGGAGGCCTTCTAGTACATTATCCTCCTTGTTGCTCCTTAGCCTATTTGGGTCCCTTACAAATCTTAAAATGTATATGTTTGCCTTTCCCACTAAATTTTCTTTCAATGCTTCTTCTTCATGTTGCACATATTCCCCAACCCTTCCATTACTACAACTTTAGATAATATTTGGAGATTAGTTGGTCACCCCACACCAACGGGAAATCTCATATGTCCATCAAACTAAATGTGCCTCAAGTTGATCAAATTTTGCAGTTTCTTTGGAAACTCTTCAAGTGAGAAACAGTATCTCATACTCAATGTTTGTAGATTACAAATTTTTCCAATAGAATTGGAGAGTGCTTTGATACTGGTTCTAGAAACATCCAGATACCTCAAGTGTTTCAACTCACCAATTGAAATCTTTCATGAACATTGAGCAATATGCAAAACATTATTTCATAGAAGGTTTAGTGACAATATTGGTGATCCCCTAAGCGAAATGGAATTTTGACAAATAACTCATCAAACTATTCCATTTTTGTTCATCTTCGTTCCAAATGTCATCAAGGACGACGACATATCTTTTCTTTGTCAGGTTCATTGTACACTAACCCATCCGAAGTTATCTTTCCTACACCACCCATTCCTACAATAACCAAAATACTTTCTTGACTGTTGGAGATAATCAAGGTTGCAACTATACTTGACACTTCCTCCTTTCTTCCAACGATGTATTCATCCTTACCAAAGAATGAGTTGCTTTCTGTGTCCTCTATTGCTTGAAGGGTTGCATCTTTGTGTTTTTTCTTATCAACTAGTTCAATGAAAGATGCCTCACTCACCAAAGATGCTTTCATAGACTTCATTCTATGTTCCATTTTCTGACGAAACAAAGTGGGATCGGAGGCAGAAAGAAAGATTAGTACCTTTTTCTTTATATGGTTCTCCAATTCTACTTTATGCCGAAGAACTTCACAATTGATTTCATCCAACACATCTTCTCCATCATAAGCTATGGTTTTAAGATTCTTCACCCACTGATCAAAACAAAGAGAGCCAAATTCTGAATTAGTATTCTGGGAACTTTCTGATCCTCTTAAACATGAACTTCTTCTAATTATATGTAGATCTATAATAAGCAGGCACTAAGCTCAATAGAAATTAGGAATAACATATAAGCATAGATTCACTTCCACACAGGCTGTAAGGGCTTGGCCGAATAAATATAGATTGCTTACCGGCTTACATGGCGTTGACCAAGGCTATGGAGCGGTGGTCGGTAAAAGTCTTGCAAGTATCTTCGCCTCTGAAACTCAAGAAGACATGATAATTACTACATCCATGAAAAGTAGATGTAATATTTCCACTCTCACTGATCGGTTGTTGGTTGCTCTGAGCTGCACGGTGGAGTGGTCATAGTGAGACTGAAGGCTCTTATCTTTCCATCTGCTCCAAGGTTCTGTATTTATCTCTCTCTCTCTCGCTTGTTTGGGCTTTTTTCAGAGTTTAATCTTTGTTTCTCTGTTTGGGTTTTGGCACCGACAATGTTTCCTTTTCTTTTGTCCGAGCACACATTCAAACGCAACTTTTTTGAATTGAAATTTAAAAAGTAAATAATTTTTTATTAATATGAAAAAAGAAACACCACTAAAAAATATATCATTCGATCTCAATTACTTAAATCAGAATTTGTTTTTTTTTTTGTCATTCGACAAAATAAAAAAATTCTTAGCTTTCCAACTAATATTACAATACCTCTTTATTTTCAATCATTGGGGGATGAGGTTTTCGAATTGGCTGGGACCTCTTTCAACATTGAGAAAGAAGTATCACTAGACTGCTCTCTTTTTTTCCAACTCATACAACGAATATTGGATTCTCTAATGGAACTACAAGAGGCACAACCTTGTGTTGTTGATTCATGGTTAGCTTGTAGTAGCATGACAATGGATTTACTTGGAAAGAACCTGTCTACTGCTCAAGCAAAAGATAGAAGTGGTGTACATGTGCACTACATTTATCATACTACTATATTTATTTGGTCATTCAAATCAAGAATTTTCTTGTAGAGAAGAGAAAGAAGGGTAAAGGTTAAGAATTTTATTGCAGTAATTGATTTACAAAGACCCTGTTGAGTTTCTTCAGTTGAAAGCCTTGGTTTTTATGCTGAAAGATCTGTACTTAGTTTCCCTTAAGAAGGTTAGATTGTCATCCTCTAGCGGACAAAAATGCTGGAACAATCAAATGACCAACTTCATTTGAATTCTGAACCCAACTAAATGCACACACACCAGACCTGTCTTTTAAAGCCTTCTGAAATTACAAATAACACTAAGATTTATGCATCTAAAAGATTGACCTTCAAATATCTTGCAAACGGAATCATTACAAACAAGATTTACTGTATATTGCCAAAATTCCAAGATCCGGTACATCATTTTTTTTCCAGGCAATCCAACTGCATGACTCACATTCATAAATTCGCTATGAAGCACTGAGGGTCAGCGGTTAACAGGAACTGATTGTGTGGTGCTGAACGCAGAGACGGAAGACGGAGATCTGAATTTCCTGCTTCATCTTTCACTGTAAACTGAGGATAGAACATCTGTATTTAGATTAGAAATAGGCTAAATAGTGGGATATATACCAACAAAAGAGCAACTAAACTTATACATCCTCGGTAAGAAGTTTGGAGAGCGAGAGAGAGGACGACAATATCACTCTTCTTAAATCATGTTATATATGCTAGCAACATGTGACAGCCAAATGGAGACGTGGATAAAAAGAAAAAAGCATTAACGCAGGAAACTTACGCTGGCTGTTGAGCACCAGCTTGTTGTATCAGCTGAGAATATATGTACTCATCAACCCTCTGCTTTGCCAGTGCCACCTGGTACACAACCAAAGATTTTGTGTGAATGAAAAGTCCATATATTGTAATAAATAAATAAAATACCAGCATACTTGTTTCTCGACTAAGCAACCGGAGCCTTTTCAAATTACAAAGTTTGCATTTCAAAATTTTATTTAACTTGTTGGTAGTGTTTTGAAATATGGAAGGTAAAAAAGATAACATTACAATATCATACTTTACAAGTACACCATTCAACCCAACACCACCCAACTGCAAGCACTCTCTTGGCAACATTTTATTAAAGGGAGATTCACTATTATAACCAATATAGGAGCCCAAATTATTAAAAAAAACCTTATATGAAATGGACTTTAGAAACACACCCAAAACCCATTTACAACATAACAAAAAGATTTTTAACTTCTTTTAAATTACAAAACTGCCATTGATTTCTTAAAACAAACCCAACTCCAAAACCTCATAAAAAAGCCCAAAACACTCAATAGGGCATCAAAGTAATTTAATAATCAAAATTAAATTCAATAGGGCCAGCTATCATTTTTTGGGTTTTTTTTGGGTTTGTTTATAGAAATGAAATGGTGTAGGGTTTATTTATAGTTTTAGTGCTAAGAATGGGTATATGACTAAATATCTCTTTATTAACTAATCTAAAGTGGAACTATTTACTGAAAACGTCTTTATTTCTGGACAAGAATTTGTATAAAATTTAATCTTTCAATTTTCTGTTTTCTTAATGATGGCGCTTAGATAAATGACAAACTACAATCCACCACTCAGTCTTCAGTCCATGCTACAGTGGCTTTAACACAACATTTTTTCCTGACTCAGTGATGGTTTTTACAACAAATTGGCAAGACAGGTATTAAAAAAATATGGATATACCTGTTGTGCACTACCGCAAAACTGAATTTGCCTATGTTTTTGCGCACCTTTCCCACCATAAACCTGCAAAACACAAAACCATATTAGCTACCATAAAACACAAAGTAATTCACAGGAAAAACCAAAAGATTGAGAACTATAAATGAGAATAACCACTTTAAACCAGGGACACTGCTTATAAATGCTTAACGATAAAACTCAGCCCACCTTGATCATTGCTCCAGACTCATTTCTGATCCTTTGAATGTTGGAGCCGCATCTACCAATCAACCCACCAACTAGTGTTTCCGATATCACCATCTCAAAGGTTATATATTCAGCTGCAAGATTGGTTGTCCTAAAGATGATGTGGTTATGAGATAAAAAATTAAAACTTGATAGAACCGAATAAGGTGGCGTTTGTAATGTTTAGTTATTTTTATATGGAAAGTGTGGAATAACCTGAAGTTGGGTCCATGTACGGTTGAACTTGAGGTGGTCGAATTGTTGTGTAGTTATATGCTGGACTGATGGAAATCACTTGTCGGGGTGGGTTTTCTCTAAACAACATTAAATTGATAGAAGGTCAAGCAAACTGACTTCAGAAAAGAAGAATGAGCAAGAACAGTTTGGAACACCATGTAAACAAGAATTTAATGTAACCTTAGTTGATCACCAATCTCTTCCAAAGCCTTCAGAACAGCAGGCACATCACCTGATACCTAATAATAACGTCAATTATCAGTCAACTTGATAGAGAAAAAATAGTAGAGCCAAAACTAAGTACAGGTTCTGTAAGATAAAGCCAAACCGTTAACACAAAATGTTTTTCAATCTTACATATCAAGATCAACCAACAATCTCAAATAACGAAAAGTACCAAAAGCCACATCACCATTTTGAATTCAAAATGCTGACAAACTCACCTGTACCACTCGATCAGATTCATGGGCAGATGCACACAAAGGCAACTGATTTGGGGCAAGAATTGTGATTGTGGCACCAGAGGAGTTCCGCAATTTCTCAATATTCTGGCCAGACATCCCAATTAATGAACCTGCTTGGGACCCGGCAATCAAAAGTCTAATGGTATTGGCAGCCACATGTCCTGCACCAACTTTTGCTGCCTCAGCACCACTATCATCTTCCTGTTAATAGCATACATTTAGAAATCATTCATTTCATTATAAAATTCACAAACCCAAAATCACCTCTTAACCCTTTTAAGCTCAGAAACACAAGGACTCTAAAAATCCAATGGAAACACACCAAATTCTAGCACTTAGTAGTTGTGATTATTTCTTTACATGGCAAAAACTACCTAAAATTAAGATGCTTCAAGATAACAAGCAGGTGGTGAAATAACTGAGGGATCGTTTGTAGAAGCTTTTTGCAGGTAAAGACTCAACTTTCAGCACAAATAACCTCTTTACAATATAGATGTGATTGTCAACCATTTCCACCTATTATAAACCCAACTTAAAAGACCATAAAACTGAAAACTTAATACTATCTGCAATTATACAAATGGTTTCAAGTGTACTATAAAAAAGATAATAGCTTGAATGCTTCACTCAATCCAATTAAGTCATAAAATTACTATCAGGCAAGAAATTTGAACCCTGCAATTTCATAATATCAACTTGACCATAACAACCTAGAAAGCACAAAATAACACTATTGATCACCTTCAGAATCAACCCAGCTATTTGCTGCAGCGCCTTCTCGGCATCAGTACTCGCGTTATCACTATCCTTCGAACTTATTATAATCACACGCTCCTCGTGCCTCTGCAGAAAGGCAAAAAAAATTCAAAACCGAAAACAACAGTAAAAAAAAATTACGAAACCCTAAAGATAAGAAATCGAGGAGAGAGTTACACACAGCGATGGCGTCGGCGATTTTTATATTGGCCTTGGTCTCTTCGCGAATCTTCTGGATTCGACACCCCTCTTTGCCTATGACCTTGCCGATCTGCCTCGACGGAACAACGATTCTAAAGATGACGTCTTGGGCCTTGGCGCGGCGCTTGGCCCCGGGTTCCTGGGGCTCCGGCCCGGCCAACACCGGAGGATACTCGTCCTCTCGGCGGCGCTTCAGGGCGGCCGATTGGGTGGGTTCGGATCCCGCTATGGGTATTAGGGTGGTGGGTGGCATTTGGATTTGGGGGTGTATGGGCAGTTGGCCTGGTTGCGCCATTTTGGTTTGTGTTTCTGTTTCTGTTTTTTTGGGGTTATGTTTTGTTTTGGTCGGCGGAAATAAAATTGATCGTGAAAGGGATGTTAGCCGTATAGGCTGAAGGGTTTTGTAGAACAAGCAAAATTACATGTTTGGCCCTTTGGTTTTTGTTATATACCTTCTCACCTTACCAGAACTCCTCAGTCAGGACTAGTCAGTCTTGTCTTTTCGCCGGGTAGTTATCAGTATGATTAAACTCATATATGAGTGACTGCTCTTCATTCAACTTATTCCATTGGAACAGTGATTCAAATTTGATTGCAGTGACATCTATTAGGATGCTAGATTGCCTACGTATTCTTTGTGAAATTAAAGCGGGTGGTTGAGTTTGTGTGGCCTTGATTTTAGAACCCATTAAGAATTTATTAATTTGATGATTTTGAACCAATTATTTGCCATCAAATAAACCCTAATTAATCGGGATACAATCATCAACAAAAGTAACAACGCACTTCTTTCCATTAGTAGCAAACTTAGCATGACTTTTAGCAAAGACACAAGATTCACACCGAATGTTTGATGCATCACAATGAGTAACCAATGAAGGAGACAAATGTTTTAGATATCCAAGCATGGACTAGAACAAAGTTTTCCTTCCTTGTAACAAAGACATATATGCTTACACACATGTATCAATTGTAACAAAGTCAGATGCTCGCTAGCACTTGTATTAATGGTTTGAATACTTTGCACAAATGGATTGTAACAAAGTTTCTCTTGCTTTTCATGAAGTAATAAATCCCTTATTTGAACTTATTTTTACATGAATATGTAGGAAAAAGTTTAGCAGTTGCCCCTAAATTGATGACCTTCTTTCGATTTGCCCCCTCGGCTTGCTAAAATTTCCAATATTTATATCACTTGATTTATATGTCTTAAGATTTATTTTTCAAGTTTGAGCTTGGGGTTAGTTTATTTGAAATCATATTTCGTAAAAGTATATCACATTCAGCTTGAATTGAACTCCCAATCTATCTAAACAACCACTTGAACTATAAGTCTTTTACACATCCAGTAATGTTAATATCTATATATAAAAAAAAAGGTTTCCATGTGATTAGGGCATCAAGAGAAAATGTAGGAAGGAAGGGAAGTAGACAAATTAGAAATGTGAGAGAGGGGTGGGGTAATGTATTAGGATTAGAATGAGTCTACGGAACGACTTTTTAGTGACAAAGAAAACAAAATGTGAGGTAAACTCAGACCTTCTATAAAAATAAAAATTGTTTATTCTATAGCAAAAAGTAATTTTACTTGTTATTGTTATTTTCTTGGTAAATAAATATATAAAAAAATTAAAGCCTCCCAAATAAAAAGATTAAGTTATTACATAACAATTAAACTTCGAATAGTTCAATAGTCTCAGATTTGTCAACCACAACCTCAACAAAAATGTTATATTGTTACTAAACCCTTACTAAACAATTCAACTTCCAATTATCTCATTTTCAGATTCACTGTCAACCTCTCCATCTCCACTGGATGTCATCCAATCTGGTCTTGTGGCTCTAATGTTCATTAATTCTTCTGCGCTTTGCTCTTCTTGTGCTACATCTTGCATCCTTGAATTTGCTAAGGTCCAATCTTTCAAACAAATTAATGCTTCTATTGTATTTGGACTCAATCTTGCCCTCTTCTCAGATACAACTCTACCACCTGCACTAAAAATATATTCTGATGCTACAGTGGAAGCTGGAACAGTTAGTAAATCACGAGCCATAAGGGAAACAATAGGATATAATGATTTATTGCCTTTCCACCAACCCAAAAGACTAAATTGACTATCATCAGCAACCTCTATTGTTGGTAAATCAAGATAAAGTTGTAGCTCAGACGTGGTGGAAGAAGAGGAAGAGGAAGAGGAAGAGGAAGATGAAGATGAAGATGATAGCTTTGCCCTTTTTAAGCCCTGCATAGAGTAATTACGGTTCACAATAGGGATAACTATAGAACCAAGAGTTTGACTCGAGGTGCTAGAAGTTGAAATGGAAGATTCCACATTTTGGGCTACATCAGATATTACACTTCTCTTATATATATCAAAGAATTGAAATAATAAAGCCTTTAAAGATGAAACTTTTAAGTCAATGGTTGGTTGATCAATACCCATCATCCTTAACCATTCACTAATTGCAAATAATTTAAACCTGGGGTCCATAATAGTAGCAAAGCAAAACACAGTAGGAAACTCTCCCCAATATTTTTCAAATTTTGCTTTCATTTCAGTCAAAGCATCCTTAAAAATAGAAATTTCAGCATATGCAGCAAATAATCCATGAATATCGATTAAACAATTAATAACACGACTCGAAGTAGGATAATACACACTAGAAAATATCTTTGTTGAAGAATGAAAGATTTGTAAAAACTCACTAACAAGGTGAGCTATTGCCCAATCTTCTTCACTAGGAACTTGCAAATTGCAAGAACGTGATTCATTTACCTTTAGAACATACCTATGCAAAGGGGCTTTATATTTTATAGCTACACATAAAAGCTCATAGGTGGAATTCCACCTATGAGGCACATCATTGTCTATATTTTTCTTTCCCATATTGAAATCACTACAACATTTAACCCAAATTTCATGTCTCTTATTAGAGGAATTCATGCTACGTACAATATCAGTAATTTTATCAATAGATGGAGATAAAACTTTTAGTCCATCCTGTACAATTAAGTTCAATATATGACAACAACAACGTACATGAAACAATTTTTGTTGTACAGAATCAAGCAATAGAGAGGATGGAAGTATACTTGCAGCTTAATTACTGTTTTACCTTTTTCAATTTTGGTAACCCTTTCAAACAAAGACCATACTTTACTTGTTAATCTAGGAGCACTTGAATTTGTCGAGGATGGAGTGGAATCATTTGCAGATTCATTCACAGCTGATTCATTCCCAGGTGACTGACGAGAATTATCCATCTTGATTATCTGAGGAAAGAAGAAGAGAAATAAGTTTACATTTTAGAGTAAAATCATTGCAAAAACCTCCAGTCATGATGACAAAATTAAAAGAATCTAAATTTTTATTTAATCTTGGAGTCCATCATCATGAAGAGCACTTTTGTGCCTTGGATCTCATAAACCCAAAATTGCCCGTGACTAGAAACTTAATAAACAACAAGCTAAGAATGGTCCCCATCCATGATCCATCAAGTAAAAGACTTTTTTTAAAAAAAACCATTGGAAAGAGAAAGTCATTTCCTTTATACCTGAGAGGAGACAGAGAAAGTCGTCAGTGTGGTGGAGGAGAAGTGGAGACCTGTAGAAAGACAGAGATAGTGACGAGAAAAAAGAGTAAGAGTGAGGTACAGGAGAAGTTGATCAGCACATCCATCAATCCATGATCCATCCAACATCCAAAACAAAAAAAAAAACTTAAGAACATTCATCCAACATACAAATAAAAGTTAAGGATTGAGATCGCAGACTTACAGTGCAAATCCAAAAGCTTGGATGGATGTGAGTTTTGGTTGAAAACTAGAGCTGGAGAGGAAATTGTTTTCTTCAACAGAGTGTGCGGCGCAGAAGAGAAAGTGAGATGAAGGCTTGAGAAAATGTTAGGGTTAATGACTTGTCTTGTTATATATACTAGCCTCTTTGCACGCACTTCCGTGCTTGCGAGATGCTTTTTTTTAAAAAGTTTAAATTTATTTTAGAATTAAAAAAGATAATGGGTAGTTATGTTCCATAAAAATAGGATTCATTATCTGATTTTTCTTTTAATTTTAATTTTTTAAAATATGAAAACGTGTGAATTTACCATATTATCCTCATTTAATTAATAATTTCAATTCTTAATGTTTGCATTAACTAAGGGCATTTTCTGGTATTTTGAATGTTT